CATTTCTTGTGACGCTTCCGACAGGTCACACAGCCTGTTTTGGTTCGTACGGCTCTCCACGTGGACATGCTGGGATCCGAGGAGGAGGAAACATGAGGAAATGTCTCTGTGCAGACGTGGTCGACGAGAGAAAAGGGAAAGTCGTCGTGGGGAGAGACAGCAGGAGAAGATAAAGAAGTAAGAACCATCATCGGTCATTGGACAAGCCCGAATTTCTCCACATTGCCCGCCGCCCTTATCGAACTTGAAGATGGCGCCTGTTGGACCCATCGAGGCGGACAGTTGAGCTTGTCAATACACACAGCCAACCAGCGTCTCTCAAACGTGAGATTTTGACCATGTAACCGAGCGAAGTGGCAGGGTGGGCAGGAGCCATACGGCTTGGCATCGAGGACGCCGGTCTGCGGGACACTTCCGGCGAGCCGGGTGTCTCGCCGAGAGTGTTGCGCTCACCGATAATCTACCAGCACTCATAGCACGTGAGAAGTTTTAGTTCAGCAACAAGTACTCAGTATACATCACTGGTTGAGCCCATATGTGACGGGTGTGCATGGGAATGTCTGCGTGGCCTTTCATACTAGCCAACTGCCGTTGTCGCACCTGCCGAAGCCACGACAGGCAACATTCCGTCGAAAATGTCTTTCAATCAAGCTTGGCTCCCTGCAGTTTCTTGGCCGCGCGTTGAACCTTGAAATGCGACCACGGAAAGAAGCAACTTCTGAGCCAGAATTTGAATTGCCAATCGGGATATAACATGGTATTTTGGCCCGTGGCAGCATCAACGTACCCCAACTTGTACACCCTATGGCCCAGCCAAGTTTGGCAGCCGCTGACTGGATCTACGCGTTATCTCTCTTTTCCGCGTTGGGGACGACAGAGATGGCTGTGGCCACGGCCCCTTCCTTGAGCACGGGACGAAGAAGATGAAGGGTAAAGTTGATCTGACATTCCGTGGAGAAGACGACGGAGATGTGTCCCGTTGCGGTGTTCGGCCCCATCATGATGAAGAAGTTCGGGAAACTCGATACGCAGCTTCCATAAGAGGCACAATGTCGTTTTCACTGCTTGGTGGTCAGCTTCAAGACCAGGGAACGGAGTATATGCTGCAGCAAGCCACGTACGTATTCGTTCAGACTGATTCCCCCCTGACCACAGACCTCGAGACGATGCAGGATCTGCTCTCTTTCGAGGCCATTGGCAAGAATGATCGCATCCGCATGGATTTCTCGGCCCGACTGCCTTTTGACGCCCGTCTCTGTGATTGTCTGGATCGTATCTGTGGCCACTAACTCGACACTGTCCTGGTGCAAGCAAGCAAGATAATCAGTGTCTGTGACTTTACGTTTGCAGCCAATCTCAGTCCTGGGAATCAGCACATCATGATATTTGACAGGGGCAGTTCGCTTGATGTAAGCAATTTGCGTGCATTTCAGGGAATCTCTGATTCTTTTTCCGGCGTTGATCTCAAACCCATAGAAGTCGCGTTCCAGGGTACAATAAAGCCAAAAACGGCAGAGGCGCCTTGCAAAGGGAATTTATCGCATGACCGCCCGGAATACTGCTCCATACTCTGGGCTTGGTCGTTGACTGAATCAATGCGGTTTGTGGCTGAATTGAATGATCTTTTTGACTCGTCCTGGGCCCTGGCTCACGATGGGGACAAATTGTGTGGCATTGCAGCCATTTGCCTGGGAGCATATAATCAGTACGACCTTCCATTGCTCCCGAGCGTTGTTCATCATGTACCGATAACCACTACTTCTTTGTCCTTCCAGTCAAACGAATGGTCCCAATGGGCCGAGTGAAACAGTGACCCTGTGTAATTTTGTGCGCCTTGGGTGTTGCAGTCGTTGGGGATGGACAAGGCACCGATGGCCGAAATGACAACGCGTGATCTCCTTTCGAAAGTCCGGCCTGTCTGGCTATCGAGTATTGTGACCAGCCAAGTCGATGTTGCTTCATCGTAGACAGTCTTCCGGACAGTGGTTTGAAAGTGGGTGCGTGAAGGAATCGCATATCACGCCGCGACATCCTGTAGGTTGTCTTCGATTTCCGGCTGCAGTGCAAACTTCCGTGACTGGATTCAGGGCAAACGAAAAAGAGTAGAAATGAGAGGGAACCTAAATCAGAAGGTCAATCTCAGAGATGTGTGCTTGGGTCCGATATGTCATACATCACATCCACAACCTGGATATGAATTTACAAGTCAAGTGCCTGCAAGTTTCCGTTCCTTCTCATGCATTTCAAAAGAGGCTTTCGGAAATTTCCCCTGCAATTGTATAGCGAAGCCAATTCCAGAAAAGCCACCACCGATAATGATTACGTCTATGTCCACTGCCATGTCGGCAGTGGCAAGCAAGCACGGGAAGAAAAGAGACACTCTCGGAGTTAGTGGATATCTTCAAGAGGGCAATCATACTGAGTTGATGTATTGAGTTCATTAACAACAAACAGCGAGCATGCCCTCTCGGAGTGATGGGGCACTTGGGGCCTTTGACTCTCAGACACTTTTGTCGTAGACGTTTCGCAACCGAGATGTAGGAAGAAGCATCCTAACCAAGCATCGGATCTGGGAACTCTGTTTGGCAAGTGTACCTTGACTGTGTCAATCAGGTCTGGCCATCCGAAGTCCCTGTACTGACTGAGTGCTGTAACAATTCTATCTAACGAGTGCCACTGCGTCCATCCGAATGCGGTAATGTAGGCGCCAGTTCGACTGCTGACACTCGTCTTTGACAAGGCGTACGCCACACCTTGCCACGTGGGCCAATTCCGGTTCGGTGATGCTAGACTACCTCAATTGTTCCTCTAAAAAGCTGCCCTGCATCAGAATCGGCTTCTTTGCCGCGCTTCCAGGATTCGTTGCCAGGCTGTCAAAATAAGCCTCTACACTCGGCGTTAGTAATCAACTGTAGGTAAATAACATATCAGACTACTACAGAAGAGACTACTTTGCCGCGTAGCACCTCCACACTCAGCGGTCATTCATCACCATGGCTAGAACACTTTGATTGATGTGATTATCAACGGCAAATAGATACTGTTGGCCTGGGATCCCCTGGTTGTGATTACATGGGCCCTGTCTCATGCCTTTGGCTCATCGAGCGCAGCCACCTCAATCTCAACCTGCATACCCTCCTCACCTAGTTGGGAGATACCAACACAAGTCCAAAGAGGTTGATGATTTGGCATCCAATATCGAAAATTCCGGACCATATGATCCATGGCATCTTTACCCAGTGGAAGGTGGTAAGATCTCACTCGATAAACCTGACTCCATCCAGCACCTCCCGCATCCCTCAGAGCCAGATCAACGTTTTCGAACGCCTTGTCGATTTGAGCTCCCAGTTCTTCAATGACAACGCCCGTTCTTGGATCCCAGCCTCCTGTTACAGTGAAGCTACGATCAGCTGCTTGGCACCATCGCGCAATGACCATCTGCAGCGTACCTTGTCCAGAGATTTCGAGCCGGTTGCCGATGCGGGCAGTCTGGCTGACGGATAAATTCTTCAGGTTTGCTTGTCCCACGCCTGCGTAGCTGGATAATGTAAAGTTACCCATGATGGGAGGCTGGGACTCGTCACTTATAGGAAAGCTGTATGGCTCAAGAAAGCTGGCAGGCAGAGACAAGTTTGCGAGGCTGGTCAGAGGACAGGCCTGCGCAGTATATATACCGAGTACACTAGCGCCGATAACAGTAAATGGACATCCGTAGGAGGTAAAATCATCGGTTCCACCTTAGTATAGAGCTTCTAGTTGTCGGCAAAAGGTCCTGCAGCCCAGGGTTATAGGGGAAAAGCCCGGAAGCCGGGGCGGCCCAAGGCTATACAGTACTGTATTAGACGAGCCCAGGGCGGCCGACCCATGGGTGAGGCACGGGTTGGCGTCATGCGGGCTCAGCCCTGGCGGACCCCCAACTCGCGCGAGACGAGGGTGAGCATAGGGCGGCATAATTTTCTGGCCCGAAGCGGGTGCGTCGCCTGCAGTTCTCCCCCACATTGGCACTCATCTGTCACCATCACGCACTTATTCTAGACCTCAGGTCAAGACGACGACGTAACCGCACTTCTGAAGCAGAGAAAAAAAAAGTAACAATGGCATCTCTCAAGGGGCCAGGTGCTCCTCAGAAACACGATGGCTCCGGCCTGCGAATTGCAATAGTCCATGCTCGCTGGAACACTACCATCATCGAAGCCTTGGTCAACGGTGCAAAGAAAGCCATGCTGGCTCAAGGGGTGAAAGAGGAGAACATCGTCATTGAAACGGTCCCCGGATCGTACGAACTTCCCCTCGCAGTCCAACGAGTCTATGCGGCCTCCCAAATACAGAGCACAGCGAGCGCAGTTGCAGGTGGCCTGGGCAGTCTCACGAGTGGAATCGGAGATCTTCTGGGAGGCAGTAACTCGACGACAGATCTGCAGGGAAGTCTACAACCAGGGCCGCCGGAGCCAGAAAAGAAAGGTGTGAAAGGATCGAGGCATACCTTTGATGCCATCATAGCCATCGGTGTGCTCATCAAAGGCGAGACCATGCACTTTGAATACATTGCCGATGCTGTGAGCCATGGCCTCATGAGAGTCCAATTGGACACCGGTATCCCGGTGATCTTTGGTCTCCTTACAGTGCTCAATGAAGGCCAGGGCCTGGCCCGAGCTGGTCTCGAAGGAGGCACCGGCAAGGAGGCTAAGGGACATAACCACGGGGAAGACTGGGGCAATGCAGCCGTCGAACTTGGAGTGAAGAGAAAGGGATGGGGGGAAGGAAAGGTTGCTGGAACGTGACCTAGGCAGAACTGCCCGGTACTTGTTTTGGTTTCTAGAGGCACCACAAGCCGAGAAGACTCTCTGGTGTCAAGCCTTGCTGTTCGAGAGAGAGACGTGGAAAGCCACAAAACTAGATGTCCCGCCGATGGTGGTTTCTGCCTCCTTTTTTCGACTGGAGTCCCCATCGACCATCTCCAACGCCGCGGTAATGCTACAGTGCTGGAAAAGCGAAAACAATCACTCCTGCATGGCATCCTCTTCCTCGTCGTCCTCATCATCTCCCTCCAAGCTCTTCTTAGCTGCCTTCTCGGCCTCTTCGAGTATCTCTTGTGGAACTTGCTCATGTCGGCCTTTCGTTGGACCGTCGAGGCTCGAGATCCATGTCATCTCGAGTTCAAATTCCTTGTCTTTCGAGTCTTCATGTGCAACGTAAATGATCCTAGCAGCTTCCATGACGGCTTCCTTCAGAGTAATGTCACAGGTGGGTGAGCCTAGGTCAAGCTTTTCCAGCTCAGCTTTGGCAGCTTGCCGTCCCTTGCCAGTTGCGGCACCATAGTAGCCCTAAGAGATTGCCGTCAGCACTGTCATTCGTGATCATTCTTTTGACATACCCAGTAGAGCCCGCTTGGCTCAATCATGTAAAGCCCTGGACCACCTCGTTTGACAGCTTCACCTTCGGACTTGCCACCTGCACCCGACGCCGGACCTAATCCGACTTGACCGTCTACTCCGTGTTCCGCTTCAGAATCCCAGCCTCCCAAAATGGCCGTCACACCAAAGGGCCGTACGCTGGAGTACAATGTGTATGCCTGCACATAGCCCCCTACTCTTGACGCTAAAGCATGTATGGGAATGGGGGCTTTGTATGTTTCTCTCCAACTACTGGCCTCGTCTCTTGCTCTGCTGATGAGGTGACGACCGTCTGGGAGTAATCCCGAAGTCACAATTCCTGCGTTGCGGTCGACCGTGGATATTCTCTTGTTGGAGCCGGGCTTCAGGAGCTTCGAGGTTATGATCTTCTCGCAGGCCAGAACGACACCATGCTTCGTCCGAATTCCGATACACGTCCCACCGTTTTCCACTGCTTTGACGGCGTATTCGACCTGGAAATTTCGGCCATCCGGCGAGAAGACAGAGTTGGAAAGATCGTAGCCTGTACCTATCGACGTCTGGATACCACACAATTAGTATTTTTGCTAGACCTCGATGGGACTATAAGTGACATACCATTGCGGCGGGATAGCTTGAGACGATTCAGTGTTTTGCAGTAGTGTGGCTCAATACAGGTCTCGAAGTAAAGAGGTCCCGTCAAGATTTCGCTTGGTCTTGGAGATATCGAAAGGTTGATTGTACTCGGTACAGTGAGAACTTCTGTCAAGGCTAGACTTCATTGAATGCGATGCAGGCTCCCCAGAGCCGCGCCATTGCAGACGCATAGCATGAAGCCCAAAGTAGACTAGTCCTGCCAAGGCGCGCATCGGGAGATTTTGGCGTGTTTGATGAGTTTGGAGTTTGGGCAGCAGCGACGGGCGCTACGTGTCATCAGCACCTTCCGACTTGGTCATGTGTGTGATGATGTCTCCCCCTTTCAACTCGCTTTCCACCTTGTTCAACTCCAGCTACTTCTCTGTCTACAACTTCTTCCCAGCTCCAAATCCTCAAATTCTCATCTCAGATTCCTCTCTCCACTTGGCGGCCCTCACGCTTTGATGTTGAGCTGAGTTGCCGCTGTCTGTAAACCGACAGTTCTCGCAAAACGCACTTTGCAAAATCCTCCTTACCCCGCTCTTCTCCTCCCCTTGACCTCGTCCTCTCCCCTTTGACTTCATATCTCTTCACAAACAGATCAACAGCTCCTTGAATCCAGGCTTCTTCCGGACCGGACCACTCAATTCCCTTTGGACTGGACATCTGGATCCTAGGTTGCTCTTTGTTCTGGATTCTGGATCATCGACCCGCTCACAAGTTACCCCGGATTCGGAAACCGGACCTCCTCGCTGGACTCCCTGGAGCTTCTATAGCAGACTTGTGTGTTAGTTAGTACAATACGAATTTGAAGCCTAAATCCCAGAATTTTTGCTTCCTCTTCCCTGCCTGGTTCTCGTTTTGCAGACACAAGGATCTCTAACCGCTGGTGTTGTTCTCAAATCTGAAGTCATCAGATTATGGCGTCGGCTTTTCACAGATGCCAGCATTGTGGCTACGAGACAGACCTCTCGAACAATCTGGCGGCGTTTGAAGAGAATCCTCATTGCAGACAGGTTTGTCCGATTCCAATCCCTGTTCATGACCTTCTGATTCTTTGCCCTAGTGCGGACTATCGGCCTCCGAGAGCGATATCAAGATGCAGGACGACCTAATCCACATGATGACACGCAATCTGCATCTCGGTTCCCTCCAGCCTCCATCCGACATGTCGATGCCCCCGACGCCTCAAGTCGTCCCGCAGTCGACACCGATCACGTATATCACACAACACTATCACCATTCAGCACACCAGGCACCACATGATCTTCCAATTTCAACGGTCCTTGAACAGTCTGGCATCAATGCCTCGGTGTTGTTCCCATCTCAGTTGCAGTTGTTCAAGAATGCGGAGCCTGAACAGAGGCTGAGGTTGATAGAGCTTTGGCAAATCGCGCCTCCAACGTATGGCAACCAGATGCACCCTGATAATTTGGCGAATTGGCCACAGACAAGCATGGAAAGAGAAGAACAAGCGGCCAAGTATCGATTGCAGTTGGTGGAACAAGAGAAACTGAAGAATTTGTGTGCTCTCCCCACGGGTGACCTCAAGCACACTGCCGAGCCGTACATTCTGCATGGCTACGAGGCACAGCCAAACATACACGGAGTTACAGCTTCCACAGAACTTGGGCCCATGATGATGAAGGAGGATAACTACAAACAATCAAAGGACCCAGCGTACAACAGCAGAGAGTGGTGGCATTTGTCCGACGATGAGCCGATGGAACATCAATACGGCATGCTCCAACAGATGTATGGGTATGGGATTGATTATTCCGTTGCTAGACGCGGCGATGGGGATGCAGAGATGTCTTGAGATCTTGATGCAGATGTGACTTGATAAGGATGCATCAGTTGGAGGTGGCGGCATGACGTTGGCGTTGATGTTTTTGATCTCATGGTTGCATAGATTGGATTGTAGATAGTGATCGACCTCCCTCCTTTGTTCAATGGAAGATGCACATAAACACACGAACATGATTTGGAGAATTATCATTCAGTCATCAAGTGCCTAAGTTGTCGCTTGGGAGGCGGGAGGCGGGAAGCGTGGAAAATCCACTTCTAGAGATCTATTCGCTGGACCATTTTCCTGGAAGGGGTTGTTAGGACCGCAGCCAGTTATGTAATTGCGGCAAGGGTAGAGGCACGAACAAAGCATAGCTCAGTTCATATGTACTACTGAAGTGCCGCAGAGACATTGGTAATCGTTCTGTGAGACGACCTAAAGGATCGACGCCGTATCAAGTCGCAGCAATGTCGCGGCAATGAGTTGAAGTGTCTGGAATCAATCGAGTCGCTCAACCTCGAGCTTGTCATTTCGCAAAAACTCCCACGTCAATCTCGCTACGCTCCGCATGTCGTGAAGTCCGGCTCGATTCAGTTTTCACGTCGACCCTATCGAATACCAGCCGCCCTCCTCGCAAATGGCATCAATGAGCAAGAGAACCCAGGCGCGGAATGAGCGGGAGCTTCACGAGTTGCTCTCCGTCGCCGGGAATTCACAATGCGCCGATTGTGGTGCGAAGAACCCGGCGTGGGCGAGCTGGAATCTGGGTGTCTTCCTCTGCATGCGATGTGCCTCTCTACACCGTAAACTGGGCACTCATATCTCCAAGGTCAAGTCTCTGAGCATGGACACCTGGTCAACGGAGCAGGTTGAGGTGGGTAGAATCACCCGTTCCTCCTCAGCGCACGTACCCACTGACTGACACCTGCACACAGAACATGAGGCGCAACGGCAACACCGCGGTCAACAAGATCTACAATCCCAAGAACAAGATGCCCGACATGCCCTTTGATGTCGACGAGGTCGACTCGGCCATGGAAAGATTCATCCGCAAGAAATACCAGGAAAAGAGTCTCTCGGACGGCAGACCCGAACCTCCTCAGCGCGACGACAATCCTCCGTCCAGGGATTCCAGGCCCCAGGGAGGAGATCTCGATTCTCCTCCGCCCCCTCTACCTCCCAAGAAGGGCAAATTCTTTGGATTTGGTCTTCGAGCCTCGTCTTCCGCGTATAGCCTTTCGAAGCACGATAAGAAGAAACACCAGAAAGAGCCCCGGGTAGATAGCACGTTCCGCATTCCCACTGGCGATTATGATTCACGAATGGACGATGCGCGCTTTGAGATGACAGATGCCGAGTTACAAACGAAGTTGGCGACATTGCGAGACATGGGCTTCAGCAACACGGACCGCAACACGAATTTGCTGCGACGGTTGAATGGAAATGTGGAAAGGACAATTGAAGCCTTGGTCCAACTTGGGCCGAGTGAGAATGGAAATACTGCTTCCTCCAGGAGGCAGGGACCTACACCTACTGCGAGTCAAGAGCCTACACCCAAACCTCAAGAGCCGTCGTACAACCCATTTACATCCATGAACAACCAACAGACTGTTGGTCTGTCATTGGCAAAGCCCCAAGAGCCCTCGACTCCGACCAGCGGAACAAGCTACAACAGCAACAACCCCTATGCTCAGCCTAATCGCAGCCCGTCCCAGACGGGACTCGAACAATCCTTTCAGTCCATGCAAGTTTCTCAGCCCTTGTTCCCTCACAGCACCGGGGGATATCCGAGCCAGCCGCCTCCTTTACAGGACCCTCGGTTTCAGTATTCAATGACACCTCCGGTCACGTCGACGCAATTCCAGCAAGGATATGTGGCGTCACCCGCAGCGATTCCTGTCACGAGCAATCCGTTCTTCCAACCTACCCCAGTGTCGGCTCAGTCGACGGGGAACAACCCGTTCCTTTCCCAGGTACCTTCATCTCCTTCATCAAACCCTTTCTTGAACGTACAGTCACCTGGGCAATCGGCACAAGTGCAACAACGACAAAGCTCGCTCCCAGCAAGTTTCAATCCCTTCGGAATACCGCCCTCTCAAGCTTCGCCCCCTCGACCAGTACAACAACCGCAGCTGCAGCAACCCCAAGACCTATTCGGGACAGCCCCTCAGAATCAACCCCAGCCGAACAACCCTTTCCAGCAACAGGGCATACAGCAGCAGCAGCAGCAGCAGCAGCAGCAGCAGCAGCAGCAGCAGTATTCTCAAGCGATGAACTCTCAAATACCCCAAACCCAATCTCCTTTTGCCAATTTCCAGTACACTCAACAGCAAATACAACCTCAGCAACAGACACAGTCGCAATCGATGCCAATGTCACCGCCTCAAGTTCAGCAACAGCCATCATATTCACAGCCGCAATTCTCTCAGCAGAACCAGCAGCCTATGATGCCCCAACAAACAGGCCGCTACGACAAGAGTTCCATCTTGGCTCTTTACAACTACCCTCAACTCGCTCTCCAGCCACTTGCATCGATCCCAGAACCTGCATCTGAACAGCAACAGCCGCAACAACAGCCTCAACAGCCGGTCTCATATAGCCCCTCGGGCGATATTTTCGGCAACAACCATCTCTCGCCCGCGAAACGTAGCGCAACAATGCCCGTTTCGCTGTCGAACATGCATTCCGCCGGCGGAAGCGGGAACCGAAATCCATTCATGACCAACGTGACCAACGCCAATCTGAACACCGTCAATACGAACGGGGCTTTCAATCCTTTTGGAGGTGCCGGTGCCGGTGCCAATCCATTCGGATCTCCTCACCAGGGGCAGGTCCAGGTCCAGGCTCAAACCCAGACTCCCGAACAAAGTTTACAAGGTTTTGCGCAGCAGCAGTCCTACGGGCAGGCGATGACCATGCCCGGCGGCATGGGTGCCGGGATGGGAGGCACAGGAGGACGAGGAGGACAGAGACCACAACAGGGCATCGCGGCGCGACACGCCAGCGCCGAGAGCATGAGCATCAACAACCTGGAAGCAGGAAGACACAGTCCCGACGCCTTTGCGAATCTGAGCGCGCGATACATGAGGTGACGGCATTTTGTTTGTTTTGTCACCTACGACCGAAAGGGGGGAGGGGAGAGGCGAAGCGAGGCGTTTGTTTGGGATAAGTACTTGTGGTCGACTCGACTCGACGAATCTTTGTCTTTTTGAATGGGGAGCGAGCAGCGAACAGCGAGCATGGGCTAGGGCAAGGGCAAGGGCAAAGGAAGTAATTATTCTTACCATGGGTTTTGACATCTCACGTAATTTTTTCGATCATGATGGCGTATAGCCAGCCTGGCTGGTAGGCAGGCTGGCGGTCAGGCGGGAGTTATTGAGAAGAATGAAAGGAAAGAAGAAGAGAGAGAAAGGAAAGAAAAGAAGAAAGCAGGATCAAGTAAAAAGTAGCATATAGGTATGAGGAGTCACTCGTGAACAACGGCATATAATGAATTGGCCCACCAACCAGCTAACATGTCACTCAGTGGTCCTTATTTCTGAGGGTTCCTACCCACGTACTCACAGGACTTGGTACTTACTATGTGCTACGTACAGTACTTGGGTGGTCAGGAGGTAGTCTATATGGGTCCACCCTCCCCTGCGCCTATACTAGTATACTATCACTTACAGACTCTCTCCCTCGTCTCGCCCTGCCAAACGAGGTCCTCTTGGGACAGCGTGATGCCATCCTGGGTTCAACCGACTTGCTCAACCAGACTTCTTGCCCCCTTCCGTGGAAACTCCCTCGCCGCCGTTCCCCAACCCTTGTTCCGTGTCCGGTTCACGAGCCACCAGCCTGCGTCCAAAAACTTTGTCGACAGGAAAATATCGGCCGTGTGAATTGGTTTGTTTCTCTGCGGCCTGGACCTGTTGCTTGACTTCCTTGCTGTTGCCCTGGCTGTTCTTGTGGTTGTTGTGGTTGTTGTGGTTGTTGGCCGCTCTCTTTCGACTTTGCTTCTCAAAATAATCCAGGACTTCATTGATTTTAAATGCCATGATAATCAATGGAACAGCGAGAGCAGCGGTTGTCCCAACTGTTCCAAAGGGTCAGAATTTCACAATACCACAAACTTTTCGACACCCAGGGAGAAAGACATACATATCCTCGAAAATATCCATTCCGATGGATAGCTGACATTGTCACTTTGGTCATGCGGGAATGATTGAACATTCAATGCGTATATAGACGCCAAAAATGACATGGGGAGCTGGAAACACCACTGGGTTAGTTACCTGGGTATATACTTGGAGACCGGGTGCCAGGTGATGGAATGCCTCACGAATATAATGGTGACGATGGTGAAAACCATGATTGTTCTACCCTGTTTGGTCGTCGCCTCTGCTTGCTTGCGTGCTTCGACAGCTTCGAGGATGTTTGCATCCTTCTGCTTGAGATCCAGTAGATGATTCATCTGCTTGTATTAGTGGCTGTCTATCACCAGACGACGAGCAGAAGTGCCTCACAGCGTCGTATGCCGTCCGAATATCTCGTTGCATCTTTTCGATCCGCGCAATTCGCGTCTCGATGTTGCTCCGTTGTCGGTAATAGTCGAGTATATGGTCATTCGCGACAACCCCCTTTGCCTTAGAATATTTTCTCCTAGTGGCTAATTTGGAGAGTGTCTTCAGCACAACATCTTGATCAGTACAAATGCTCCGAAGAATGTTTAGCTCGTCACGTATATCTTTGATCTCTTCGAGAAGCGCAATTTCTTTCTCCAGCCGAAGTTCCAGATTGGAGGAATGACTGTCGTGGTTTGTTTGCGTATTCTTGTGCCGAGCGGCAATGCCCCTCTTGAAATCTTCAAAAAATTGAACCTCTTTGTCCATCTGAAGAAAGGTGTCAGCATACCTTGAAAGACTTCCGTCTCAGTCGAGAAACTCACCACAACACCAATCGAGTCTGCAAATACATGGAGGAAGGACTCAGATGGGCTCGAAGCCGTTCCACCATCAGCCTTGACCTTGCATTGATCCACGAAATCCGTACAAAACGACGTTATCAAAGCTGCCATTTCATATACGGTTCGAGTTTGCGGTCTTATGTCTTCGCTGACGTGCTTGCTTATTCTGTGAATCAAGCGGTCCTCACCATTTCCTGTCGCAGATTCTACCCTTTCGCCTACCTCTGGATTTTGGCCCCATCGGTCTGGAAAGCAGGTGATAATAGTTTCTGGAGGGTATAATCAGATACTGCATCACAAACATAATGTAGACAATACGCACTGTCGTCAATGATCCAAAGCCATAGTTGGTCTACCATGCACATTCGAAAATCTCGACTGTCCATATCTGCTTTGCCAGTCGAAGGAGACGGGGCGATATCCGATCCAGTATTTTTTCCATCAGAGGCTGAAGATTTTAAGCGCACTAAGTCAAGAATGCGCCGGAAAAAGTTGACAACCTTGTTGTGTTCATTCTGGTTGTGTTCATTCTGGTTGTGTTCATTCTGGTTGTGTTCATTCTGG